TTTATGAATTTAAGTTTGCCAAGAGGATTTTATTCTTTTACAGTTGAATTGGCTAGATGTAACCATAACTTTCTTTTGTCTCACTTCTCACCTGTGGACCCCTCTTCCGGCTTTTTGCTTTCCAGCCAACGTTGATCATCAAAAGTGTAGCTGTAATATCAATCATTATTCTCTATCATCTTCCTTCTTCTTCTTTAATTGTTCTCGCACCTTAATATTTTTTCTTTTTCTTATTCCTTCTCGCTCACTAAAGTCGCTTCACTGCCTAGCTTGGGATGAAATACCCTGTTGATAATATAACTGACTCTTATGGATATACAATGAATTGCCCAAACGACAATTCTAGACCATTTCGTGCCAATCTTTTTTTTTTCTTCACGGTACCCTTATAGAATAACTGAAACTCTAGGATCACTATGAATTATAATAAAGAAAATTTGTCTTGAAACATTGAATTTTTTGTTTAAAAGATGATTATAGATATATGTTCTTCTTTAAAAGATTTAATAAATTTTAAATAATGAAGAATATGCTATTTTTTAGGTCAATAATGAATGATTTAAGTGACTTGAAGATGACAAAAGGAGAAGGGTTATTTACAATTTTCAAAGATTATAGAATTTAGAACCCAGTTTAAAATATGAAATTAAAAATACGTGACTTAGTTATCGAATCCATGTGCCTCATTTCTCGAGCGCTTTCTTTAAGTTTTTTTTTTTTAATATAAAAATAATTTATAAATTGCCATTCATTTAACTTGTGGCGCACCTGACTAAACCGAAACATTAAATATATTAACTATATCAAAGAAATTAGAAAAAAAGAAAATGGGAAAAGACAATTTTATTTGTAGCAAGAGGTCACTTGGTGTCAGAGAACATGTGAAAACAAAAAATATGAAACACTTGATTAAAGTACAAAAAATAAATTTAAACGGGACCTACTGCAAGAAACAAGGACAATAGGTGGTGCAAAAGGTCGGTTGGAAGATTGCCGCGTTAAAAAAAAGGTCAGAAATAAAACAGGGATATGAAAAAGTGGGGTTAGCTGTTAGGCATAGCAGACATTAGCGCAGTGACTCTCGTCAAATGGAGTTGGCTAGACATGTGTCCTTGAAAGATTTCTGCTGCAGATTATGATGGTTACGATATCCATAGGGTAATGAATTTTCTCGGTTGCCTGTTTGTGTAGGTTCTCGGCAGTGTGATTGTAATTAACAAATTCAAGACCCGAAATTACTGTTCAACTGCTTTAATTTCTGGTTGAAAGAGAGAACGCAGAATAGTAGTATTTAGCGGGGAAAAGTGGGGTTTCTCAGTTAATAAGATTCTTGAGTACATGTTTTGTGGAGAGAGATTTCTCCGCTTATCCCCACGGAAGGAACGGTAAATCTTAGTGTGAAACAGTTAGGACTAGTTACTCTATGGCAAGGGCTGTGTGTAGTTTTGCTTTTGGGTAGGTACCTGGAAGGGAGATTTCCCACAAGGAACGAGAAATTTGAAGTCAAGCTGCCAAGACAGATCCATGTGTCTTCTGCAGCAAGATGGGGTCGAAGATAGAGGACGCTGAAAGGGGAAAGTGGAAAAGAGCTGACCTTGCAGGTAGAGTCCACTGAAAAAGAAAGATGGAAAAGAGGCCGAATAAGGCTTGGTCACTATATATATATATATATATATATATATATTCTGAGACTGACAGTTGTACACTGCTGATTGCATCCGTTGCTGTTAATGGAGCAAAGTAAGGAAGCCCCTATATGACAAAATAGCCAACAAGTGTGGTAGTTTGTATAATAGCCAGACATTTAGTCATGTATACTAAGTAATTTAGTCTTACTAAAGATCGAGGAGCGGCTGTTTTTAATCTTCCTACGTTGCCGAAAAAAAGATAGAAATTGTTATAAAAAGTTTTCTCTTTCAGTCACTCTCAGGAAGAAGTAAGTATTTTCGAAGTTTTGCTTTTTTTTTAAGCATTTAGATACATAGATTCTTTTTTATGCTTCAATATAGTTGGATCTCGTGAGTGTACGCTAAATAGGTCAAACGACAGTAATACTATAGAACAAAGAATTAAATAAATACACACAGAAATAAATAAATAAAATGTTGTCTGGAGTGATAGAAATATTTAGTTCAGGAAAAGAACCAGAGAAGAGATACGAGCCAGCACACATTAGTTAAAATTTGGCGTCCAGATTTTGGCTAAGGATCAAAGGTATCATAGAAATTCTTCATGCCAGGCGCGGCTGAAGACTCACGCAGAGATGAGATAATGATTAGTTGGCAATTATCGCTTTGCTTCAATGCTTTGTAAATAAATTCTTGTTACCTTACTGAATTTCAGTATTTCGCTCTCTCTCGCTCCCCCCTCTCTCTCTCTCACTCTCTCTCTCACTCATTCACTCATTCACTTTTTCGGCGTTTTCCTTTCTTTTTTTCTGTCTTCCGTCCTTACTTTTCTGTTCTTCTCTTTATTACTTTTTTTCTTTTCCATTATTTTTGTCTTCATTTTCACGTTTCTTTCATTCTTTTAGTATTCCTTCCTGCTTATTCGTTTTTCTTTTAATACATTCAATTATTTCTTTTCTATCTACTTCATTCATTTATACTTTTCTGGATTTTACTTCCATTTTTTATAACCTCCTCTTCTTTTTTTTCTTTTAGTATTTTTTTTTCAATTTCTTTCTTTCATTCAAATTCTTTATTCTACGTCTTTTTACCTTTCATTTAACCATTCTTCCATTTTTTCTGTTTTATTTCATCAAATATTCTTCATACTTCCTAATAATTTTTTTTTTTTCTTTGCTTCATGTTTTTTTCGGATTATTTTATATTTTTATCTTTCTTTTTTTCTTTTGAACCTATTTTGGTTCTTTGAAAACTTCTTTTTTCATTCATTTGAATTTTTCCATCTGTTCTTTGATCTTCTCGTCTTACTTTCTTCTTTTACGTTTCTTGTTTTCCCTTTCTCTCTTTCTTTCTCTCCTATTCTTTTCGCCTTTATTAATTTTCAATTTCTTCCCTCCATTTAAATTGTTCCTTTTTTGGTTTCTTTTTTTCTTTTCGTACAACCATCTTTAATTTTTCCTCTAGTATTACATTATTTTATTTTATTTATTTTTCTTTCTTTCTTTCTCTCAAGTTTTTCTTGATTCATTCATAATAACATTTTTTTCGTTCTTCTGAATTTTACTTCGATTGTTTTATATTTTTTTCTCTGTATTTGTTTTTTTCTCTTTCTTTTTTTCTTTTTTTTTTGTTGTTATTGATTTTCAGTGCCTTACTTTCATTCATTTGTTGTCAATTTTCTGCTACCTTTTTCCCTTTTTTCCTCTGATTCTTTTATCCTTCCTCTTCTCATTCGTCCTTTCTTTCACTATTTTATTATCACTCATTGCTCTTTCTTTCTTTTTTGAGCGCATCACTATCATTCATATTTTTAAATTTTTCTTTGTAGTTCTATAATATCATTCATTGTTTTTTTTTTTTCTTTTTTCGTTTCAGTATTTTACTATTATTTATTCTTTTTTCTTTTTAGTTTTTACTATTTTTTATTGTTTTTCCTTCTTTTTTTCTTTTTTATTGTTTTTTTTTCCTTTTTTCTTTTAAGTTCTTTACTATCATCCTCTATTTTTTATTTTTTCATATATTTTTTACTTTCTTTTTCGTTCGTTACTATCGCTCATTGCTTTTTATTTCTTTTTAGTTATTCGCTATCATACATTTTTTTTCTATTTTGTTGTTTTAGTTCTTCACTATAATTCATTTTTTATTCTTTTTTACTATCGTTCATTTTTTTCTTTTTTCATTTACTTTTTTACTATCGTTCATCGTTTTTTTTTTTTTTTCTTTCATTTTTTGTTATTTAGTATTTCATTGTTTTTTCTTAATTCCTTTTTTCTTTTTAGTTTTTTACTATCATCCATTGTTTTTTGTCTTCTCTATTTTTTTAGTTATTTTCTATCAGTCATTGCTTTGTTTCTTTTTCATTTCAGTTCTTTACCATAATTCATTGTTTTTCTTTTCTTTTTTTTCTCTTAAGCTCTTGACTATCATTCATTTTTCTTTTCTGATTTTCTTTTTAGTTCTTTAATATCATTCTTTGCTTTTTATTCGTTGCGTGTTTCCTTGTTTTTTTTATTTTATTTTCCTACACACTGACACATTCTTTTCCGTCATTCTTTTTTCCTTTTACTCATTAACTCCATTTATTTTTTTTCTTCTATTTTAATCCAACATTCTTCTAAATCTACCATTTAATATAGTATTAATCAACGGAATTTTACACCCATATCCACAGCCAACATCTATGTTGTTAACTTCATTCTACTCAACAATTTACTGTGTGTGAGCAAAACGGTCAGTATATGATACATCTGAACCGAGGATGTCAGAATCAATCAAGGACGAAAATTTACATATCTTATTAAGGCTTTAGAAAATGTGGCTTCAAAATCCGAAGACGAAAAAATAATATGAAACAGGGATACTTCGTTAGAATCAAGCAAACGAATGGTGAATTTTTATATAGTATCGGTCCAGCTGCATGCCATTGAATGCTGTACTAGCTGCTCACAAGTGAAGAAGAGATTTCAGCCAACTAATATATGGTTCTACAGTATGATGAGAATAACATGGACGGATCCTAGAATCAACGATTATGTTTTAAAGAAAAAGATCACTTCTACTCAGAATCAGAGGTATACAATAGAAATTTGTAAGGCAGATAATATAGGAAAGATGGCTTGAAGAGTTTTACACTCACAGGATATACATAAAGGAAGAAGGACAAAGAATTCAGAGAATAACCTACTTAACAAGCTTGTGTAAATGATTAGCAGAACAGAGATTAGGAGAGATAGGATAGAGATAAACCGCAGACAGTTGTACAAAAAACAAGAAGTTGGGAGAGCCATATTTTCCCATGTACTGAATGGCCATGGCACATTAAAGTATAACAGTGGTATACGTTTTCATGTGTAACTTCATTTGCATTTATAACTATAGATTTGGTTGAAACGCATAAGTACTGCTAGATAGATAGATAGATAGATAGATAGATAGATAGATAGATAGATAGATGTAAACAACAATAAATAGATAGAAAGATAGGTAGATAGATAGATGTGGACAGACTGTGATAGATAGATAGATAATAGATAGATAGATAGATAGATAGATAGATAGATACATAGATAGATAGATAGATGTAAACAACAATAAATTTAAAACAGACTGTGATAGATAGATAATAGATAGATAGATAGATAGATAGATAGATAGATAGATGTAAACATTAAATAGATAGAAAGATAGGTAGATAGATAGATGTGGACAGACTGTGATAGATAGATAGATAGATAGATAGATAGATAGATAGATAGATAGATGTAAACAACAATAAATAGATAGAAAGATAGGTAGATAGATAGATGTGGACAGACTGTGATAGATAGATAGATAGATAGATAGATAGATAGATGTAAACAACAATAAATAGATAGAAAGATAGGTAGATAGATAGATGTGGACAGACTGTGATAGATAGATAGATAGATAGATAGATAGATAGATAGATAGATAGATAGATGTAAACAACAATAAATAGATAGAAAGATAGGTAGATAGATAGATGTGGACAGACTGTGATAGATAGATAGATAGATAGATAGATAGATAGATAGATAGATAGATAGATAGATGTAAACAACAATAAATAAATAGAAAGATTAGATAGATGATGTGGACAGACTGTGATAGATAGATGATAGATAGATAGATAGATAGATAGATAGATAGATAGATGTAAACAAATAATAAATGAATTAGGTAGATAGATAGATGTGGACAGACTGTGATAGATTTAGATAGATAGATAGATAGATAATAGATAGATAGATGTAAATGGGGTCAATAAATAGATAGAAATATAGGTAGATAGATAGATGTGATACATTTACTGTGATAGATGATAGATAGATAGATATATAGATAGATAGATAGATAGATAGATAGATAGATGTAAACAACAATAAATAAATTGAAAGATAGGTAGGATAGATGTGGACAGACTGTGATAGATAGATAGATAGATAGAGATAGATAGATAGATAGATAGATGAACAAATAATAAATAGATAGAAAGATAGGTAGATAGATAGATGTGGACAGACTGTGATAGATAGATAGATAGATAGATAGATAGATAGATTCTCAACAATAAATAGATAGAAAGATAGTTAGATAATAGATGTGGACAGACTGTTGTAGATAGATAGAAGATAGATAGATAGATGTAAACAACAATAAATAGATAGAAAGATATTTAGATTTGTGGACAGACTTTTTAGATAGATAGATAGATAGATAATAGATAGATGTAAACAACAATAAATTTAGAAAGATAGGTAGATAGATAGATGAGATATAGATAGATAGATAGATAGATAGATAGATAGATAGATAGATTACAATAAATAGATAGTCTGATAGGTAGATAGATTATGTGGAAGACTGTGATAGATGATAGATAGATAGATAGAATAGATAGATGATAGATAGATAGATATTAAAAAGATTAGTTGGACTACTGAGACATAGTGAATTGAAGATACAAACCCTACCTTGACGTCTACTAGATTTTTTTATACATGTTCATACAATACAAGGCTCAAGATCTACTCAAGGTAGAGGACTAAAGAATAAGGGTTTTGTAAGGTCGTATTGATTGATTGATTACTTATTTTTATGGTCCCATTCCTTAGCTGGTTGTTTCAAACCGAAATATTTTTCTTTTGGTTTCTAAGAATAATTCTTTGTTTTTTGACGCGTGAATATTGGAATTACCTTCTTTTTCCTGGAGAATATGGATGATTTTTTAAAGTTAAAAAAAAAGTCCAATTTCAACCAGCTTTATATAACTTTGGAAGAGTTATACATTAATTTTTCGTAAATACCAATGCACACGCCTGGAATTCGAATACACCACCCAGGTAAACTATAAAAAGTTTTCATTATATAACAAGAATATGCATCATAGATAAAGGTTAACCTTAGATTTAATAATAGGATGACCGTAATGTACGATGGAGTAATGGATAGCGGCTCGGATTGAGGAATCAGCGAGCCGAGTTCGAATCCCAGAATCATACCCTTCCCAAGGATATTAGAACTTACGTGCTTATACATTTGGGAAGGGTATGGATCCTCTTCTCTCCCACCAGCTATGAGTAAATAGACAAGGCTATGTAGCTTTGGATGGCAACTGGTATACCGCAGAAGTGACAACCTACTGCGGGGAAAAAATCTGCCTCGTCAGTCATGTGTCGAAAGATATCGCCTAAGCGTGTATCCCGCATGGCACATAACTGAATTCATCAAGGAAGCATCCTGGTTGAAGTCGGTTTCAAGCAGTAATAATTCCCGGCAAGATGCTGACTGAATGAAAATCTCTCCTTACCAATTGAATTTGAAGAGAATGATTTTGAGTCGAACATGTGTACTTGGCATGGCGTGTCTTATGTGTAAATGTGCAGGCTAATTAATATAGCTTGTATGAATATTTCGCAATAATGATACAGTAGCAGTGTAATAGTAAGGTTTCGTATGATGTAATGCAATTGAAAACTAGAAAATTCATTCAACCCCTACAAGTACGCGTAGACGCTTTTGAAATCAATCAGCTCTAATACGCAAATGGCAGCAACAGTCCATTTCGATCTGGTCTGACTATTGCAAATACTGGGTATGACGGCTGGCGTCAGGTACTTCCCCGCGCAATTTCAATAGACGATCAGTTTCCCAACAGCGATACAGTAATTCCTCGATTAATGTGGCTAAAGTGTACATCAAAACATACCCACTAATCGAAAATATATTAAATCGAATATTGTAGGAAATAGTGTAATTTGTAACTCAAATTTCAGTCTCATCAAATTAATTTCTAATTTGCATACTTTTTAATTAAAATATAGTTATATATAAGAAGATACAAAATATTATGTATTAATTTTTTTTTTTAATGTGATGTGTTAAGAAAAAATATTTGCAGTGGTTTGCCACATCGCATTTTTCATTTCTTCATATAACTGACAATATTGAGAAATTACACCTTCAAATTTTCCAAACATATAATAATCATTAGTATTTTCAGTTGAAAAGTTTATTTATATTCTTTCCATAGTAAATGTATACATCTTTTATACTTCGATATTTTTTTAATAAATGTAAATTTCTTCATCTAAATCGTCTACTTTTTTGGCAAAAAATCAGAAATTTGATTTTAAGACCTTCAAAATAAACATGAAAAACAATTAACATATTCAAAATTTTATAATAGAGACATATTCAGTATATTAAAAAATATTTAAATATTTATTTTTATTATCGGCTTATATTATAAAATTTATCTGTTTATAACCGTTTACTGTTTAACACTACCGTAATTACTTATAAAACGTGATATTTGACAAAGAAAATAGTTACCATTTTTCCATTTTTGAACTTTAGAAATTTTTTAATTAATCGATAACTATAAAAAAAAAACAATTTTCAATTACTATAGATAAACTGGAATTTTTTTTTTTTTACCGCACTAATCGAGTATTATATATTCCCTAATCGAATTTTGTTTTTTTTTTAAATTTTAGTACAGTAATCGAAAACGCATTAATTGAATGCGCATTAATCGAGGGATATATGTATATAAATTCCAATGAGTTCTGGGTTGAACTTGAATCTGCGATCAAAGTAACGACCCTTTTTGAGAGTACAAATATTCATCGTGACTGGCCATCATTCAGGATCAATCGGTTGATGTTTGAAAACTTGATATCTTACTTTTTGAGGTGCTGAAGTTTAAAGTTATTTCACCCATTAGAGCTCGGTCAGAAGAGAGTTCAGCTGCCAGGATCTGGTCATTTAGAATTGTGGAGGTGCGCTCAAAAACTGTGGTATCATATGAATAGATATTTGCTGAGAATGTTCTTGGGCAGATCGTTAATATGAAGCTGAAAGATAAGTGAGTCTTCTGTAATATATCACCACTCATTAATGTATCTGAATTGTCAAAAATCTCTTAAACAAATTGTTATACTAGAACATACCTATTCTATTGTTAATAGACCTCCCACTTATAATAAGTAGTAGTAGTAGCAGCAGTCGCCAGAGTTCAGTGGAGTTGGTGTGTCAGTCGATGTCGGACATTAAAGTATCAACCACCACAACTAGATTGCTGCGTCATTAACTATTATTTCAAGTTCCTAACGTTTTGTACGTCGAACCTTGAAATACAAGCCTCCACTGTGAAAACTACTCTACAACACAAATATTGGCCGGAACAAACGGATTTTCATTTTTATAAATTTTTACATTGAATTTTATTCTACTTGGAGATTTAAATAGGATAACCCGACAATTTAAAGATATTATTCACAACTATACATAAGACTAATTGAATGGAGAAGTTAACGAAAACCTGCCATCTAGGTTTTAGAAGCGCGCGCACGAACTGTGATATCATCTGCATAGATATTTACTAACAAACATAGAAAACTCTTAGGCAGATCGCTAAAATAAAGTATAAAAAGGTTTAGGGCCGAGGAATTATCATTGGGGGACGCCTTCATTGACCCCAGGGGCGTCAGAAGCCTTTTCTTTGACAACGACTTTCAGAGACTTAAAATGACATAGAGGATAATTGTAAGAAATCTTCCGTTAATTATATAGCTGGAGAGCTTGTATTGCCACCCTCGCAATGCCACGCCTTGTCAAAAGCCTTGCTGATATATAAGACCATCACATTCCTGGTGAATTTATTATTGGGTACTTCATTGCTTTACTGTGTAATGACAACTAGAACATCAGCAGTGGACATAGAAGTGTTGAATCTATACTGCTTGTCACCCAGGAGGTATTCTTCTGTAGAGAAAAATCAACCTTCTTGATGATAAACACAGATTCTTTGCTAATGCGAGCCTAAAGAGAGAGAGAGAAGGAGAGAGAGAGTGTTTGATATTGAAATAGGGAAGACTGTGGCCTCGACAGTTTACTTATCCTTGGAAAACATTTTCCTTTCACGCAGCAATTAAACATAGATTGATGATATATTGGGTAAGCTTATAGTTGAAGGATATGTTAATTGTGTAAATGTTAGCCCTATGAGCCGAGGATGAAATAACATCAGGGTCATTTATAATAATAGGCACTGACGATTTGCCTCTACTGAGAACTTTGTTTAAGAAGTTTTTTTTTTTGTTTTTTTTCAACTTTGGTTTGGCCCTCATTGCTCTTGTTTGCGCTTTCCAGAACCGCCTTGAATTGTTTGCGGGAAAAGAGATTTTAAAACTCAAAGGATATGTGGAGGGAAAACGGAAATAAACCACAAGACAATCAAACACTAAATGACAAGAAATAGTTTCTGAGTCGGTGAAGTTACGCATTCTTACAATTAATAAATTAATGCTTTGAAAATAAATATTTAATATTTTTCAACCAATGGCTCACGATCCCACCAACAATAAAGACATGCTTCGGGATCCATTTGAAGTGTATTTAAGACGGACAGGTCAGCAAGGAAAGTCAGCCGACAACACTAGTTCACATCTGGCTTAAAAGAAATTTCCTTACTCATTCACCCGTCTTTCTCACCAAGCTAGTTAAGACGTACACTTTCCTCCTCGTCACTTCTCTTCCCACATACATATAAAAAGAAATCACATTTCTTTTCCGTTTAACAACCAAGCACAAACATGGGCTGTAAGTACTTTAACACTCGTGCACGCTAAGAAAAAAAAATTATCTGTCTATATTTCTGAGATAAGGTATTATGTAGATTATTTACATTATTCGGACTATTGTCCTCATCTTTGTCGCCATATTTATTACAACGTTTCGGCCGTTGTACGCTCCGCCCTTCTTCAGGTGGTTGGATTGTCGAACTGAACCATTTATTTCGCTCACTGGGGTAGACTGTTCTAGTTCCACGTGCCATGTTTAATGGATGTCAGTTATCAGTTATCTCCTGTTAATTTCCCTCTGAAAGTTCTCTACTGCCTTAACCGGGTATTGAACTCACACTCTTTTTGGGTTCTGTCACTGGATCTAACCAACTCATTTATCCACTGTTGAGGACATCTGGGTATAAATTTCTGGGTATTATAAGCCTAATGTCTTCAGCAACTATTTTTACCAGTGCTTATATTGCAATTTTGCTGTTATCATTGCATGTTTTTTACCAGAGCTCATATTACAACTTTGTTGTTATCATTGCTTTTCTCTGGCACTCCTTATTACTGGTTCCCACATTGTATTTATTTCTATGCTTGGTCGGATCAGGAGATTTTTGTGGCCTAGCATATGTACTGATTCCTTAAGTTTACGAATTTTCCAATGGTGTTCCTTGACTATGATTTCAACATGATCTCACATAGGGCGGTGATCTTCTTTCTCTCTATATATGTGGTCAGCCACGCCCGATTTTTCCACTTCCCCTCGTGTTACAGCTTTCTGGTGTTCTTCCTTACCTTGAGGGGTCGACCTGTCTTCCCTTTATATTTCTTTCTGCAGCTGCATGGGATTGCGTACACACAGTCTTTAGTCATGTTCTCCTCTATAGGGGTCTTACTTGGGAGAGATATCTACGAAGTGTCGTCAAGCTTTTGAAGGTTGTCCTGATGTTATATGGACCGCAGATCCTTTGTATTTTCTCTGATAGCCCCTTCAAATAAGGCAGGCAGACTGTTTTCTCAGTGTTGTCGTCCTCCTCCTCTTGTACCCGCCTATCCCAGTTTTGGGGGGCTGCTGTCATGTAACCAGAGTAGTTGTTACGTTGTAGGGTACTACTTATACTGACCAATTCTCTGGGTCAGCACTTATGACTTTTGCTAGGTGTTGTAAGCAACGGACGATCCCTTTCTTTACGCTGTATGGGTGGTGGGAGTAGAAATTGAGGTACTGTCCGGTGAATGTCGGTTTACGGTATACGGATGTCTTAAACCCATGCTCTGTTCGAAATATTAGAACACCCAGGTATAGGAGTGTATTGTTACTTTCTTTCTCCCTTGTGAACTGTATCGAAGGTCTTATTGAGTTCACATGGTCCAGTAGAACCTGAAGATCTTCCTAGTGTGGCCAGAGTATGAATGTGCCATCTACATACCTCAACCATATAGTTGGCTTTAGAGATATAGATTCTAATGCCATTTCCTCAAAGTATTCCATGTATATATTCGCCATTGCTGGTGATAATGGCGAGCCCATTGCTAAGCCCTCATCCTGTCGATATGTGTGTGATCCCATTCCGAAGTATGTTGTTTGTGTACAGAAAGTCAACATCTCCATCAGATTATCTATTGGAATACTGATCCGTTCTTCTAGGGATGAGTCAGAAGCCAATCTGTCTCTGAATACTGAGAGAGCTTCCTCCGTGGGTACCTTGGTGAACAATCTCACCACGTCCAAGCTCACCCTCTGGTTGGATAGGATGGGTGCATCTTTGATTATTTCCAAGAAGTGGGCGGAGTTTCAGACATATGAAGGAGACTTTCCGATCAATGGGTCAATTATATCTACAAGCAAGCGACTCAGAGGGTGATACACAGAGCCTTGGCAACTAACAATCTGCCTGAGCGGAATACCGTCTTTGTGAATTTTAGGGAGACCGTATATGTGAGGGAGCTTGGTGTAACGCTGCGATAACGGCCTATACATCTTAGGTGCGAAGTGATCCTTGTTCTTGATTAGAATCTGTGACAGTTTGCGTTCCGTTTTCATAGTAGGATCCTTTTTCACTTTGCTGTAGGTACCATTGCTAATGAGGTCTTCCAGCTTTCTTGTGTAATCTGATCTGTCCATCACTACAGTCGCATTACCTTTGTCAGCCGGTAGTATGATGATGTTTTCGTTCCTCTGTAGGGATCCAATCGCCAGACTCTCCAGTTTTGTTATGTTAGACCTGGGCGGCTTGGCTCTCTCCAAAATCTGTCTCACTTTCCATCTCAGTTCATCCGCCTGAGCCTGAGAGATTTTTTAGGCCACCTCCTCGACTCTGGTAATGATGTCCAAGTATGGCAATATTGTTGATGGTTGTGGCGAAGTTGAGACCCATAATCAATACTGACTCCTCAGAGGCACTCAGCTGATATTGGCTGATGTTGACTACTGCTTTCACTGGTGGGTGATGGACCTTGTGCGTCACCTTCTGATCTTTCAATCTATTTAATTTTTGTACTTGGCGAGCCTTGACTACATCAAATTCATGTCTGAAGGATTTATCCATGTCATTTTGGATCCTTCTCTGGTCTTCTTCATTAGTAATTCTGTTGAAGAAATCCTCGATCCTCTGGGAGATATGAGATTGTAGACGCTGTTTTATCCAACGATTGTAGTGGATTCTCTCTTGGACAAGGGCGTGTCCCGCTTTCTCTGTGACCCAACATATAAAGAAATATAAAGGAGAGACAGGCCCCCTCAGGGTAAGGCTTCAAGAACACCAGAAAGCTGTAACACGAAGGGAAGTGGAAAAATCAGGCGTGGCTGACCACATATGGAGAGAGAAAGGAGATCACCGCCCTCTGTGGGATCATGTTGAGATCATAGACAAGGAACACCATTGGAAAATTCGTAAACTTAAGGAATCAGTACATATGCTAGGCCACAAAAATCTCCTGAGCCGACCAAGCATAGAAATAAATACAATATGGGAACCAGTAATAAGGAGTGCCAGAGAAAAGCAAAATGGCAATATAAGCACTGGTAAAAATGGTTGCTGAAGACATTAGGTTTAAAATATCCAGAAATTCATGCCCAGATGTCCTCAAAGACACGTGGCACAGTGGATAAATGAGTTGGTTAGATCCAGTGACAGAACCCAAAAAGAGTGTGAGTTCAATACCCGGTTAAGGCAGTGGAGAACTTTCACAGGGAAATTAACAGGAGATAACTGATAACTGACATCCATTAAACATGGTACGTGGAACTAGAACAGTCTACCAGTGTCCACTGTGCCATGTGTCCTTGAAAACATCTGAATTTCTGTGAGCGAAAGAAGGAGTTCAGTTCGACATTCTAACTTCCTGACGAAGGCCAGAGCGTACAAGGGCCGAAACGTTGTAATAAATATTGCGACAAAGGTGAGGGCAATAGTCCGTATAATGTAAATACTGTAAGAAAAAATTAGTTGTAAAAACACGAAAATAAAAATATTTTTATATTTAAACACATTTTTCGCCTTTTTTTTATTTTGCTGTAGATTGATTCAAATTCGTAACATATAATAAAACTACGAGAAGCAGCAACATGTATATAGTTTGTTTATGTCAATAGACCAACAACAAAGATTTATAGCATAGAGAAAAATGTTACTGAAAGCAATAAGAGACTGCGGAGAGATATGATTGTCATCAGCCGACATAGCATATAAAAGGAGCGATGACGCCAAACCAAAAACACTAGGCGTCTAATATAAACTGAACGTGCGATATGAGGAAATCGAAATTTAGGACGACACGGCTACACTTGGTGGTGCGTCCAATTCTGTTGGTTCTTGTGAATTCATATATTTTCTTCTTTTTTCTTAGAGTAGTAAATTGTTTTAAAAGTTTGTATTTTTCCATAACCACACTAATGTTATTTGATTGATATTTAAGTCAATTATTAAAGCCAAGAGAACATATTTTTTTCTAATATGAAATCACATTTGTAATTATTATATAAAGTTTTCCAGTAAATTGAAGATCAGCAGAGACTTGCCTCCTAATGCCGAAATGGAAATATCGTTGAAAATTAGTTTTCTGCAATACCAACAACAATGGAAAGCGATGAGAAACAGTTAAAGGAATTTTGTGATTATTCACCTCATCCTATCAAAGAACATTTTCAAAATTACCGTGCATTGATTGAAGGTTTTGTTTGCTGAAAGCTGCTATTGTTTTTGCTGACGAGGATGAACTCTTTGTTCTGTTTAGCCAGAGGAGCATCACGGGAAGGTTTCTATAAAAAAAAATAACTGTCTCGAAACTTTTTTTCCCCCCAAAACTTTAATTTGCTATCGTGATTACAAAAATTGTATTATTTCGAAATGTTTTGCTGGTATTTTGAAATGAAATCATTTGAATTGCAAAGAAACAAACAAATTAAGAAACTGATTGATACTGGTGTTTGTATGATGACGTCGATCAATAAAAAAAAGTGTTTCCTAATAATAGGAAGCTGTAACCGATAGAAGATTTTTAGAATATTTTTATCGCCCAATCTCGCGATGTCGAATGAAAGACGATTAGAAGGAAATTTGAAAACTGCTTGCCAGTGTTAGATCATAAAAATTCTCCTGTTGTAGAAAAGATCGAGAGAAAACTAAACATATCTTTCAGAATAGAAAATAAATGTATTTTTAACACTGTTATAAACTATTCTATGAATTCTGGATAATGTTTTGATTGTACCATTGCGATCTTCTCAATAAATTTATTTGGCAGGATTTTTTCTTTCTTTTATAATTACGGCGGCTTGATGAAAAGTTCTCGGTCCGACCAGCTTTCTAAGCTTACGAACCTATCACGTCACGTAAAAGCAGCAAAGTTTAGCGACGCCGAGATTGGTCACTACATAGATGGGTGATCGCTTGAAAATGGTAAGTGTTGTAAATTGGGCTGTGCGGACGGTGTAATGGTTAAAGGTTCGGAGCTGGAAATTGTAGATCCGAGTTACAATTCCATTTGGGTTCGTTATATACACTCACGCGCAAAATACCTATGCGAAAATATGAATCCACCACGTCTATCTCCAGTTACGGGTTAATTAGTATGACTTTTTATCAATAAAACATTATTATTGCCCCCACCTCATATTCTGACAATGAAAAATATTTCCTAATTTAAATAATCTGTAAAAGGTTGACAGACCGTAAAAAAATAAATCAATCAATGAATCTGGTCAGCTTTCCCAAATCTAACGAAACGTTAGAAGATATGCGTGTAATAGGATGGATATGTCCATGGAAAATGTAAAACGGAGAGCCGAGTTCCACTTCTGAGCCAATTTATTGCGTTCACTTTCGCACAAATGCCTTTGTAAAACGTATAGATCTATCTCTTCTCCCTAACGAGCTATGGATAAAATAGCAGCTTAAAGTAGGACATCTTGATCAGAGGGTTAACTATTCTGTCAGTCAGCCAAGTGACACACGTGAGGCAATCATGGGCGATCATGTATTTTTCGATTCATCTCTGATCAGACAGGAAGGAAGCCGCTTCCTTTTTTTTTATAGGCTGGGTGCCATCCAAGGCTATAAGTCCCCATTGTTTCTTGCTATTCAGCACATAGCTGGAGTGGGGAGTAGAAGCCGATTCATAACTTTCTCCAGGGGTAAGTGAATTTAACAAACCTGACTGTTATTCGAAATCGTTTTTGTTGTAGGCTGGGTGCCAAACAAGGCTATCGATCCCTAGTGTCTCCTGCTATTCAGCACATAGCTGGAGTGGGAATAGAGGCCGATTCATACATTTTAAGTGAATATAACAAACTTGACTCGTATTCGAACTCGGCTCTCCTAGTTCACATTCCGAGCGGTTATCGATTATACCACACCGCATGTCCGCAAATGAAACTAAAAAAAAATGAAATCTTGTTGTAGAGTAGTTTCACAGTGGAGGCTTGTATTTGTACTAAGTCGTTCCTAAAACAGGTTCGACGTACAAAACGTTAGGAACTTGATATAATAGTTATTACGCAGAGTAATCTAGTTGTGGTCGCTGATACTTTAATATCCGACAAACGGTCGTCCGGCATCGACTGACTGAACAACTCCCTGAGCGACTTAGCGACTGCTACTATTCCTACTTATTATAGGTGGGAGAGTCTATTAACAATGAAATAGGTGTGTTCCACTATAACAAATCTAAAACCACGGAGAAAGAAAGTGTTATCCTCTCCACTAACTTTCTCAAGAATACAGAAATATTCAGAGGAATTAAATTAAAGATATTAGAGAATCTGACGGGCATATTGAATCTTGTGTGCCAAGACAATATCAGCATCCATCCCAGAAAACTTTTAGTGGCAAATTTTTAGAGAGTAACGCTTAGCCCGCTTTATAAGGCTTAAATTTTAAGACTGTTCCACCTATTTATTTGCTGATTCTTTTCGCACAAATGCCCTTGCAAAACGCTTGAATCTATCTCTCCTCTCTAAAGAGCTATGGATAAAGCAGGTTGAACTTTGCCCTCTTGTCTTGAGGGATAACTAATCAGTCAATCAGCCAAGTGACACACCTGATGCATTTATGGGCGATCATGTCTCTTCAGATTCATCACTGATTTGGAAGAATATTTCCAGCAGAAGGAAATACCAGTGACCCTTAGCACGATTCATAAAGCTATACTTTTTAAAATTGTCACAAAAACATGCTTGCTAGGATAAATTGACAGTATATTTTCTCAAATACCTAGCACTTTTATTTTCGATTTAAACATAAAATTTAATTTTACGTTTCATTTCTATCGGAGAGCTCCTGTTTATGCAGTATTTTCAAGAAATCTTATCTTGCATCTTCTACGTTCAATCTGTTAAGAACATTATGGTCGCCTACATATTCTAAAAGCTTTTACTGACAATTTTCTAAAATTGTGAAGAAATGATATAACAGCAGATTTTTTTTGTAATGGCTTCCTTGTTGCATCGGGTGTGCGGCTAGTGTAATAGACAACGGCTCGGAATGAAAATAGTCAGATTTGGAGAAAAGTTTGTTACCCGTGTGATAGGTCCTCACATTACGTGTAGCTAAAATGAAACTGTAAAAGGCGATATATATTGTCTCAGGGCCAGTAGGTGTTTCCAAGACTTTTCTGAATAAAGCTATCAAAAACTCTTCTGACCTATGATGTTTTCTCGGTGTTGGGATGTGTCGGTGGTGTAATGGAGAGTGGTTTGAAATGAGAAATTGGAGGGCAGAGGTCGAATTTTAATAGACTTCAGTTACATTCGCCTACACGAAAATAGCCTTGAATAATTTATGCATCAATCTTAATCTCGTTCACATATGGGTTCAATAGTAGGAATTGTATCTAACAAATCATTTTATTCCACTAAAAACGTTAGAATGCAATATTCACTCGCAAAATATATTACTCTTACAATTCAGAATATGTTCAGCTTTAAATAACCAAGAAAATGTTGATAAGCCGTAAAAATAAATCAATCTATCAATCAACAATCATTCCTGGTTGGACCAAGGAACCTTCAGCGCTATCTACTAGTTCTTTGAGAAAGTCAAAGCTTCATCAATCTTTCCGCTTCAAGGGTGTAGTCTCCTAGAACGTCTGAATTTGTTGTTTGATTAATATATATTTGATCAGAATTACTAGGACTACTTTTTTATTCTAAATAGGATTACCTGTTTGAAATTTAATATCGAATAGTATATTATATTTCTATTCTTAATACATTTTCTAGTTTCTGTTCCAAACATGTATATATAAATCTAAGTCTTTTATTTTTTGCACAGTTTCCCTTCAGTAATTATTCCTTACCAATCGTGATATTTTCTGAAGTTTTTCAAAAAGTTTCCAAATTGTTTTAACACATTTCTCGGCATAGACGTTTATATACGTCATTACGTATCTTTTTTTAAAACACGGATGAATAAACACGTCCAAAACATCATGTGCAAAAAACAGCTACAGACATGTTTATACATCGATCTTGATTCAAAGCCCAGTTGTCAACTCGTCTGGGTGCTTTAAGCTGCATCTGTTTCTTACTGTATTAAAAATAAATCTTTAAAACAATGAAATGTTTTTCCCAAAATAATTGTGGAGGAATGGGTTAACATTTGTTTAGCAAATACAACTTCGGCATGGGCTAGTTTCCTTATTTTAATGTCAATTAATAATGCTATTAATATTGTCTTACTTCAATGATTCAATTTAATCATCTTCACTCATATAGATATTTAATATCACTGTAATAACAATTTTTATTATAATAGACTCAGAAAACGTATAGATTATTATTATTATTATTATTATTATTGTTAATAATAATAATAATAACAATAATAATAAAGACGATATTTCATCTGAATTGTGCAACTACTAAAGAACGTATATTAACGTATATTAAATAACAAAAACCTTAACACTTCGAACAACAGTAGTAACAAAGACATCTAACAAATCCACAGTCAATGTTTTTTTTTTGTATTTTCGGTGGCTGTTTACAATATACACAGCATGGCTAAAATTCATGCGAAAATTTCAGGAGTCGCACTATACAGAAGTCGGCTTATACACGAGTAGATACGGTGATCATGAGTTTAACTTACCACATTACCAGAAACAAGAACAATAAAAGAAAAAGAAAATATCCGGAGATTTCCATAAATATAAGAAAGGAATTGAATACGATTTTGATTTG